ATAGTGAGCCCTTATCTCTACCAAAAAATACAAAAATTAGCCTGTGGTGGTGCGCACCTGTGGTTTCAGCTACTTGGGAGGCTGAGGTGGGAGGATCACTTGTGCTTGGGAGTTTGAGGCTGTAGTGAGTCAAGATTGTACCACCATACTCCAGCCTGTGTGATAAAGCAAGACTCATCTCTACAAAAATGTTTTAAAAATTAGCAGGCTTGGTGGTGGGTGCCTGTAGTTCCACCTACTCAAGAGGGTGTGACACTGGAGGAGGCTCACTGGAGGCCAGGAATTGGAGGTTGCAGTGAGCTATGATCTCAACACTGCGCTTCAGCCTGGGCGACAGTGACACCCTGTGTCAATCAATATATAAATAAATAAACAGATGTCACTCTAGCCTTGGGAGGCAGGGGTCCTATCCACAGTATGGAGAGGTTTAAGGACTTTCCTAGGAGGGCCAGTCAACTACTGTGTGGCAGGGCCGGAGTTCAGAATGAGCCTGATGACTGTGGCGCCCTTACTCCTGTCCAGCTGCCAGGCAGCCTTCCTCATGTGGGACACGGGGGGCACATGGCGGGACATCGCATCCCAGTGGGCAGGCAGGTCACCCAGGCCAGCCCTCTGGAGTGGCCCTGCCATGCCCAAGGCCATTTTTTAAATTTTTCGATATGGAGTCTTGCTCTATCGCCCAGGCTGAGTGCAATGGGCAATCTCAACTCACTGCAACCTCCACCTCCTAGGTTTAAATTATTCTCGTCCTTTAGCCTCCTGAGTAGCTGGTGCAGTCCTGGCTTACTACAGCTCCCGGGTTCAAGCAGTTCTTCTGCCTCAGCCTCCCAAGTAGCTGGGATTACAGACATGTGCCACCTCACCTGGCTAATTTTGGTATTTTTAGTAGAGATGGGGTTTCATCATGTTGTCCAGGCTGGTCTTGAACTCCTGACCTCAGGTTATCTGCCTGCCCTGGTCTCCCAAAGTGCTGGGATTGCAGGCACGAGCCACGGCGTCCAGACTCCAAGGCCACTCTTGAACCAGCCCCACTGGGCTGCCAGGGTCAGTGTCCCACTGGCTCTGTCCTCACAGGGCTTCCTACACATGCCATCCGCTCATCCTCAGAACCAGTTTGTCCTCAGCCAAACTGGTTCTGAGGACGGGAGGATGGCATGTGTAGGAACACCCCAACAGCATCGGCTTCAAACCCACATGAAGAAAAATATTTTGGTTTCTCATGTGTTGGATCACAGGCTGTTCCTGGCAGGGTTTGAGCCTGGCTATTGCCTCTAAGAAGTGAGAGCTGGAAACCTAGAAGGTGACACGTGCTGCTTGAAAGTGGAAGCTTTATGGTAGCTTTGTGCTGGGCTCATGAGAGCTACTAGGCTGTGGAGTGGGACAGGCTTGCACTTGATTCAAAGCTTCGCCACCTCCCAGCTGCTGTGTGACCTTGGAAAAGTCACCTCACCTCTTCAAGCCTCATTTCCTAATCTGAAAACTGGGTGTCATGATGGTACCTAACTGATGATAGGGTTATTTGAAGAGCCACTGGAATACAGCGACAGTGGCCACATGTACACAATGTTAATTTCTTTTTTTTGAGACAGTCTCGCTCTGTTGCTCAGGTTGGAGTATAGTGACTCGATTTCGGCTCGCTGCAACCTCCGCCGCTTAGGTTCAAGCGATTCTCCTGCCTTAGTCTCCCCAGGAGCTGGGATTACAGGCGTGCGCCACCATGTCTGGCTGATTTTTGTATTGTAGTAGAGAAGAGGTTTCACCAGGTTGGCCAGGCTGGTTTTGAACTCCTGACCTCAAGTGATTCGCCCACTGTGGCCTCTCAGAGTGCTGGGATTACAGGCATAAGCCACTTCACCTGGCCCACAATGTTAATTTCATAGCTCTCTACATCTGTAACCCACCTTCCCTTTTGGGGTAGAGTTGGGAATTATAGAATGCTGTTTTCTGGGCAGTTTGGGTTCTGCCAGCCTAAGTTTCTAGCCCTAAAAAAGGGATCTCAGAATAGGAACAGGACAGCGTTTCTCTCCGCTGAATCCAGAGGGTGGAGGGATGACTTGGAGCCTGCTTTTAGTGATGAGGCCATTACACCACAGCCTGGCCCTCACGGCCCCGTGAGAGCAGGGATGGCAAACTGTTGCCCACCCTCAGCCTGGTCCGGGCCTCACACATCTACAGGCACTCTAAAATGTCTCTGAACAGAACCTCTCAGAGGTGTTTGTAAAGGGCCACCCTCCATAGATTCACTCAGGGCTGGCCAGGCAGCATTTCCATCCATTCCCTGTTGTGATGACCCATTCACGATAAGCATGGCCCTGGGCTGGTCCAAATGAGCCTCATTCCTGGGGCTATTGCTGGGACAACGTGCGAGAAGAGCTTTCTTCTCCCTGGGGCTGCTGTGCTGAGGGCACAGGCTACCATTGCAGGTGTAAAGAGATTTTCAGAAAGAACAGCACGTGGGGGAAATCTTTCTAAGGACAGCAACACAGAATCACCAGATAGGGCCACGTGTGGTGGCTCACACCTGTAATCCCAGCACTTTGGGAGGCTGAGGCTGGTGGATTGCTTGAGCCATGAGTTCAAAACCAGCCTGGGCTACATGGCAAGACCTTGTCTCTCTAAAAAAATATAAAAATTAGCCGGGCATTGTGGTACATGCCTGTACTCCAAGCTACTTGGGAAGGCAGAGGTGGGAGGATCACTTGAACCTAGGAGGTCCAGGCTGCAGTGAGCTGTGATTGTGCCATTGCACCCCAGCCTGGGCAACAGAGTGAGACCCCATCTCAAAAAAAAAAAAAAGGGAGAAATAAACCTTAGGCCTGGCACAGTGGCTCATGCCTGTAATCCCAGCACTTTGGGAGGCTGAGGCAGGTGGGTCACCTGAGGTCAGGAGTTCGAGACCAGCCTGGCCAACATGGTGAAACCCTGTCTTTACTAAAATACAAAAATTAGCCTGGCATGGTGGTGGATGGCTGTAATCTCAGCTACTCAGGAGGCTGAGGCAGGAGAATCGCTTGATCATGGGAGGCGGAGATTGCAGTGAGCTGAGATTGCACCGTTACACTCCAGCCTGGACAAGGGTGAAACTCCATCTCAAAAAGAAAAAAAAAAAAAAGGAAAGAAAAGAAAAAAGAAATCCTAGATCTAAGCGAGCCCCTGCATCCAGCCATGCCTGAAATTCTTTTACTACAAGAGCCAATGAATTTCCTTTGTAGCTTAAGCCTGTTCAAACTGACATGTGACTGAAGAGCTGTCACAGGGGCTAGATAATAATGCCCCATAGCTTCAAATGAGATAATAAATACAAAAGCTCTGGGCTCCTGTAAGGGACTGGTATTGTTATGGCCATTGACGCTCAAAGGGTGAGGCCGGGGTCTCAGCTTTGTCACTTACAAACCTTGAGTACCTTACTTCGCCTCTTAAGCCTCAATGTATTAACCTGTGCAATGGGATGCTATTATACGATTTCTCAGTGGTTATGAGAATGAAATAAGATTTTAAAAGTATTTGGCGTGGTGCCTGGCATGTGATAAGTACTTGATCCAATGCAGTCCTTGTTTAATGACAACAAATGGTAACAGTGAGTGTGGCCACAACGACTACTGCTAGTAATAAAAGCGGTAATCATAGTAGTAAGGGTGATAGCCACGGACAGTCATGGGCCCAGCCTGTGAACTAGCTAGGCCCCACGCTGGGAAACCCGGCTTCCTCCAGCTCTCCCTACTCAGCCCCTAGCAACGTTGCCTTTGACTTGAAGTGGCACCAACGCTGTGGCACCTCCATATTCCACAGGTGCCACCTGAGCACTTGATGGGAGGCCAGCTTGTTTACCTTCCAGACCAAGGGACGCAGGTGATCTTGGCCAGGAAGGCTGGGCCCTCGGAGGCGCAGGCGCTGCAGCCAGCATTCCCTCATCACCAGGGGCCTGGTAGGCGACAGCAGGGCCATCTGTGTGTGCACCTGCCAGAATGTACTCTTCTCTGGTGACAGCTCCCTGATCTCTCTTTGGGAGCCTTAAGATTTTGGGGGACTGTAGTAATTAAAAATTAAAAAATGAAAACAATTAAAATTAAATTTTAATTAAAATATTAGCCAGGCATGATCATGCATACCTGTAATTCCAGCTACTTGGGAGGCTGAAGTGGGAGGATAGCCTGAGCTCAGGGGTTTGAGGCTACAGTGAGCCATGAGCATGCCATTGCACTCCCACCTGGGCAACACGGCGACACCCCATCTCTATAAAAAAATGTAGAAAATGCTCAAGAAAAACAACAAAGGATTTATTACTGTGTGTCTCCAGTATTGCATGGATATACTTATACTGAAAAATCAGTTTGTTGTCCTAGGTCGGCGGCTCACGCCTGTATTCCCAGCACTATGAGAGGCCAAAGCAGGTGGATCACCTGAGGCCAGGAGTTTGAGACCAGCCTGGCCAGCATGGCGAAACCCTGTCTCTACTAAAAATATAAAAATTAGCTGGGCATGGTGGCCTGCGCCTATAATTCCAGCTACTCGGGAGGCTGAGGCAGGTGAATCACTTGAGCTCAGGAGGGAGAGGTTATAGTGAGCCAAGATTGCACCACTGCACTCCAGCGTGGGTGACAAGAGCAAGACTCCATCTCAAAAAAAGAAAATCAGTTTGTCTATCTGAAATTCAAATTCAGCCAAGTAGCTTGATTGTTATCTGGCAACCCTGGAGCCATGCCCCCACCGCCCTTGGACTATATGATTCTCCTGGGGGCCAAACTGGCTTCCGGTCTGAGCAGATGAGTTCAGTTGTGACCAATCAGAGCAGCCTATCTAGCCGGCCACACTGAGGAGGTCAGAGATGGGCACATGACCCAGGCAGGGACCAATGAGCATCGGCCTGGGAGCTGACAGCAGAAGGAGGGGCTTGAGACCCTTTCCCTTAAACCAGTTTGGGTCTCTCTCAAGCCAGCGTGAATGTCCTTCCACCATCAGGACACCCCAGCTCCCCAGTCAAACAAAGAACACAGCTGCACCTCAGTATTTTCTACTTTTATTTCCTAGAGTAAATCAAGTGTCACCTGGCAGGGCCCCGCACCTGATGCCCTTCCATCCCTCCACCACCCCTGTCCCAGGGGCCAGCCGAGGCCAGGAAGGTGAAGACCACATGGCCACCTGCCTGTTCCTCTCTGGGGAGGTCAGAGACTGGCACTGGGAAGGAAGTTGTCTGCCATCAGGAGAGGGTGTTCCAGGGGTTCTCCAGACCCCCGCCAGGATCAGGATAGTCAGGGATGAGGGCAGGAACCACGTGAAGACACAATTAGTTCCTGCATCGTCTACCAGCACCATGACCCTATGGAGCCCTTGGCCAGGAAGAGGCCTCTCTGTTGAAGGACACAGGCTCTGGCTTGGACAGCTACCTTCTTGACCCTTTGGAGAGAGCACCATCCAATGAGGCCTCGGGCAACAGTCTTGGCTGCTCAGTGAGTTCAAGCCACCGGGGTAGGCAGGGGCAGGGTTAGATGGCATCGCCATCACTTTCGGACTCGATGACATCCAGTGGCTGCAGACGCAGGGAGTCGTAGTTGGGGGGCGGGGTGCCCGGAATGGGCAGAGCCTGCTCATTGGGGTAGGGCCCAGTGTTGGGGCTGTGGGGCGCCATGTCAGGCTGGAAACTGAAGTTGGTGTGGGCCCCCACCAGCTCGGCCACGGTGGGCGGTGGGCCGGAGTAGTTGGCTTGGGCTCGCCGCTGCCGTAGGCTCTTGGCCAAGGCCACCAGCTTGATGATGGTAATCCACACAAAGTCGATGATGATCTCCCCAAACTCGATGAGGCACAGCACAGAGCCCCCCATCCAGAAGCCAAACTGGCCGCCCAGATTCGAGAGCAGCCAGACGATCTGTGGGGAATGGGGAGCTGGGGTGGGCTCAGGCCATACATTCTTGCCTGTAGCCCCGGCTCACAAGTTCCTGGGAGGTGGTTCTTGGATGGGAACAGAAGGGGATGGCCCTCTCAGTCCAGGGGAATCATCCAGGACTGCTTTAGGGATGTTCCTAATCCCTCCATAGGGCTCAGAACCCTTCCCCTACCCTCAGGGTGCAGGGATGGGACAGGGCAGGGCTGGGGTATCAGGAGCCTCCCACACTCACGTTATTGGCTGCTGATTCTTCAATGGTGCGATAGTTAAATTCTTGGAAGTAGATGTTGAGCTTGACAATTCCCTTCCTGCATGAGGCAGCAAGAAGGGTCAGGCCTAAGATATCCCACTTCCAGACAGACACACACACACATACGCACACGTGCACACAGACACATGCACGTAAACACACACCTGCATGTATGCAGACACATGCAGCCACACACCCATGCACACATGCATACATGCACACATGCATACATGCACACATGCAATCACATACAAGGAAGGCAGCCAAGGCGCCGCCCCAGCCCTCCTCTGTCCTGAGCTTCTGTCATGCCTGCATGACGTCCATGAGTGGTGACGTCCAAACAAGAACTGAATGAAAGTGCAGTCCTTCCCAGCCCCTCTGAGCATCTCTGCCCAGCGCCCTTCTATGGCCCCCTTTCCCCACCACTTGCTGACAGTTCCCTACAGGACACTCTGGCCTGAGAGCACAAAGATCTGCTCTGGAATCCCGGATTTGTACCCTCAGGCTGGCCCGGGCTATACGGAGTGACTCTGCACAGAGCTCTTCACTGAGCCTTGAGTGCCTTCACTGCACCTGGGACACAGAAGGGTGGCTGTGTGGGATTCCCCTCCCACCTGATGGGCCTCAGAAAGGCTGTGCTGTCTCGAGCCTCCAGGCTTTCAAGCTTTGCCTTCTGCCTGGACATTGGTGCCTCTTGTTATTTGAACAGCACTTAACTCCTCCTTGGAGAGTTCACTCAAAGCTACCTCCCTACTCAGACCTCCCCTATCTCTGAGGTAGACTGAGGCTCCTTCCCTGCTGCACTCCTAGAGTAGGGGGCTTGTATGGACCCTCCTCTCCTTAAGCTCTTTTGGCATATATTTGCACCCCCTAGACTCATGCTAGCTTGAACCA